GCTTTCAGGTAATTTTTCGCAGTTGAAGATTGCCTCTACCTCTCGACATTGCCCCAGTACAGTTCCTCTTCGGAGTTTGACTGGTGATTTGAACTCATTGAGCACTCGAACTGGGATGCGTCCATCCTTTTGCGTCTTAGCCAGGGTTTTACCAATAAGTACGTCCGGTGTAGAATTTTGTGTTGCTTCAACAACCCACAATTTGTTTGTTCCACAATCTCCATTAATCTTTGCCCACACAACTGCTTCTGACTTCGGTGGAATCTGCTCGCTTTCCTCTAGGATCTCCATTAATCTTTGCCCACACAACTGCTTCTGACTTCGGTGGAATCTGCTCGCTTTCCTCTAGGATCACTCGCCTGCTGCTGTACGGACCATCATACCCAAACCTAAGGGGCACTTCCATGTTGTTATACGTCATAATCCTGTTCTTCATGTTGATCTGCATACCTTGATCAAGCAAGAAGTCTAATCCAATGTTGACTTCATCCATAATCTCCACGACTATGAACTTGTGTAACACCGTCACATTCCCTATTGCGACTTTGCATGTTACCTCTCCTGCAACTTGGGTGTCCTCACCAGTTGCTGTCCTCAACCTTGCTCCAGGTAATGGCCTTACCTCTTTAGTGACCAAATCAGATCGAATGATGGAATGCGATGCGCCCCTATCCACAGTTAGTACTCGCTCATGTCCGTCCACATTCCACCAACAGTAACGTTGCTCGCTTTTCTGCCAATTCGCGAGACGGAGATTATGGGGCATTCAATTGCGGGAGCCAGCGCGCGCCCCTTGCTGCTGGCTCGTTTTAGTTTAACGACTGATTGGAGTTGGATTCGTCTCTTTCAGCCCTGCGTTTGCGTCCTGCTGAATTGTTGAGCGCACTGGAACTTGCGCTGCAATCGCGGGCGAAGTGGCCTGGCTTTCCACATTTAAAACATTTACCAGAGCCATGCTTTTTCTCGCCCAGCAGTTGGATAATCTTCTTCAGCATTTCATTTGTCTCGTCCGGTGTCTGCACTTCCACTCGATGGGCTAAGTAGGCTGGTCTACTACCGTTTCACGTGTCTGATCATACGGGGCAGTCTCAGCAAATGTTGCTTTTGAATTCGCATACGTCTCTCGCTTGGTATACGTGTCCTTCATTACGTATATGAATCTGTGAAATCTTACCCTTTCAAGGTGTTCACCAGATGCATCTCCAATTGCTAAGTGAGCCAACCTCTCGATCTCTGAAACGAATTCCTGTAGAGTCTCGTTGGATTTTTGGTAGCGATTGTCCAGCTTCATCTGGTAGATTTGTCTCCTGAGCTCGCTACCATAACGTCTTTCCACTGCACCCATTAACGCATCGTAACTATTCTTTCACAGTCAAGAATGGTCTGCAAGATTTCCGCTGCAGGTCCTTTTAATGAAACGACCGGCGCAGCGGGTTTAACCCTCACGCTCCAATGATTTGTTGTAGCTGTCTACTCAAACTGGAACTTGAAGACCTGGAAAGGAATCGTTCCATCAAAGGATGGAATCTTTACCTTGGGGGCACTTGTCGAAGCAGCTTGACGATTCAATTGCAAATCACGGAGGCGACCTTCCAACTCCGCTATCTTAGCCTCAACTTTCTCATATCCTGCATTTGTCCAATTTTTGGATACTGTGCTTCCAGCTTGGAGGATATACGCACCTCTTGCCCTTACAGCCGGTATGACACCTGCGCTGATACCTGTGTTATGACTACTCCGACCTTTGTGCTTCGACCTGTGTTTGCATCTGTGATGACGTACCCGACTCCTGCGCTTGTAGCTCTGAAGACATCTGGGACAAGCGCACATCCAACTGGGATGAAATTTCAGCCACTAGCATGTTGATGGCTATACCTGTTGATGAATGAGGAGGTTTTCCCTATTCTTCAACCTTCGTAGATGTCTGATGCACACCCTTCGATGAACCAGCAGTCTCTTGCTTCTGTTCGTCTTTCGTGGATGTCGCGTCATCCTCACGATGGAAGTCGCATTTGTGAACGTCGATGCCTTCCTTTTCCATAGCCTCTCACAGCCGTGATAGTAACTCCACTTTTCTTCCAGAGGTTGCTAAATTTCTCCTTTCCATTTCCTGTTTGAGTTCCTCGAACTTTAGGTCCTGAATTGCCATTATAAAAGTTTATCCTTCGGGATTTATTTAAAAATCCCAATTCTGACACCAATTTTTACGATTATCCTTGACCATGAACCAATTAGAACCGATCTGACCGGTTGAGAAAAAAGTGCGTGACTTTCTTAATTTTGAAGTTTGCTATTTTTGTTTTGTTTTTCACATCTATTTCTTTATGTGAATTTTGGTGGTAGTTTATTTCAGTGATTTTAAAGCGATTTGCAATACATTTTTTTGTTCAAATGTAATTAAAAGGAAATGCGCGGTAATTGGTTGCAAAACACGTCCAAAAATATAAAAATGGTTAGCACAAACATGCGCTCAAAAATTTCTTTAATTTTTTTCTTTATGCTTCGTCTTCATATTCTTTGTTTAATTTTGGATAATTTTAAAGAAAATAATATGGCGCCGAAATTACAAATGTCAGCCAGAAAATTACTTTTTTTCTTCTTGTCATATCGTGGCGACGCATGCGAGATACCGCAGGTGAAGACGGCAAAAAGAGCGAAGCATACTTTTTCTCGCATGCTTTCAACT